TAACTTTAATTCATTTCAATTTGTTTACTTACATATTATATGATGTATATTACCATTTCTTAGTATATATGTTGTACTAATTGAGATTGCCTAATTGTAAATATGGTCTTCCAAAGTAGACTATTATCTCTATTGATTTTTAGGCCATCACTATAAAAGCAAGCCAGTAGGGATGATGCTTCAGTACTATGGGATGTAATCATCTATCTCACCTTGATGAGAACCCTGTGACCTACAATAATGACTAATGTGGCAAGATATTTTCTAGAGACAAATAGTGGCATGAATGTTCTGTGAATAACCAATGATTTTCTGGTTGGATTTTGAGCTAAATCTCCACAACAGAGTTCATATCTGGTACAATTTACAGGGCCATGAACATAAAATATAGATCAAAGCCTCTGAATGAGAACCTACTATTATTATTCAGCTAAGAAGATCTAGTATTAAGATAACCCCTAAAGATTTCTCATTATATTATATATAAAAGCATCTCACAAGTTTCATCACAGAAGATTACTTTGGCAACAGATCGCATTGTAGTCCTATTATTTGAAGCAAAATAGACAATGGTTACATAAGGTAAAATAAAAAAAACATAATTTTACACATTGGCTTTAATATGTAAATATATTGTAGGTATTTATGTAGCCACTTATAGTGTGACTTCTTACGCCTTTTTCAAACATCCTTACTGTTACTTTACCCTCCTTTTGTATTTATGTCCCTCCCTGCCTCCATCTATTCCGTGTCCTCCTTCCCATCACAGGTAACCTGATATTGACCTCTCTATTGCTCTCTCAATACTACCCTGCAATGGTCCTTTTATCTCACTGTTTTCTTCTTTTCAAAAAAATTAAGTTGGCTTGTCCTGTTTCAAGTAACATAATCAACTTATTCCCTCAAAGACAGTCTCAGATTAATCTTGATTTAGACATAGGTGTGCCAAGTGCCTTGCCTCCTAAGTGTTGATTAATTAATACTGTCCATCATACCAGGTATTAAAAAGTATGCCTTAAGTTTACATTTTAGTTAATTTTCAGAACAATTCTATGTAGTATGGACAGTATTTCTATTGTATAAAAATTATATGGATATCCAGTCTCTGTGAATGCCCAAAGACACAGAAATAGTCATGTAAATGAACCTCATCACAATAAACATTTGAGAAAATTTCCCTAACTTTGAATAACTCAAGATTCTCATCTTTGCAATAATTACCATGTTTAAACTAGTTATTTGAGAATTAAAATCTTATGTCATTAAGTATTTATCACAGTACCCAAAATGTAATAACAATATTAAAAATGTGAACTATAATGAAAGTACTTTCATGCAAGAAATTTCTTGCACATCTTGATAAGGCAAGAAACCAAGTTATTTTGCTTCTGATATATTTTAGTTATTAAACATAAACCCTTCATTTATTTTTCTCATTGCATTATAATTTTTGAATGAGACATGAAGTTTGAAAACATTTCATAAGACTCTTGTTGTGCTTGCCAGTTACATGAATATTCTTTGTATTTGTTCTGAAATTTATCCATAAAGATAAATATCTTGTCATTCTCAGGGGGATACATTTTAATTTAGAGAAACTATTGTGGATTTAATTGACTCCTGTGGCCGCTGCTAACCATATGGATGTCCATGATTGGCACTACAATGCTATTCCTACTCCTTCTGGAAGCAATGTTGATGCTCATGATCTTCTTAGCACTGAACACCAGGTTGACTTCCATGATCTCTCCTGCAACGAGTGACCATAGTAAGGTAAGTGTTCCTTGTTTGCTAATGTGTAGAATGTTATTTTACAAGATGTAACCAACCATTGGTAACTTAGGTTGATATGCATAATTCATGCTGCCAATGGTCCCCAGGCTGATGTCATTGATCCCTGCTGCCTCTGTTAACCCTGCTGATGTCTATGAAAGCACCTCCCATGCATTCCTATTGGTTCTGTAAACCATGTTAGTGCATGTGTTCCTTGTTACAAAGGGATAACATCTTGATTTCCAAGACTTCTCTGGCCCCTTATGAGCATATTAATGTAAGTGTTCTGTGTAGCCAACATAAAGAATGTAAAAAGAATGTAAATTTCCAAGAACTGGAACACCACCTGAAACTAAGTTGATATCCAGAATACTTGCTGTCACCTCCAAACAACTTGAATTCATCTATCCCTGCTACATCTTTTAAACATGTGGATGTGCATGAGCAGACATACCATGCTATTCCTACTATTTTGGAAGTCATGTTGAGGAGGATTCTTTCTTGCCCATGGATCTGATGTTCATGTATATCACTGCCCTGTCACCTGAGACCATGTAGCTATGAGAGTTCTGTGTTGCCAACATGAAGGATGTTAATTTTTTGATAACAACTACCAGCAAAACCATGTTGCTATCCATTATACATGATGGTGCCTGAAACCATGTGAATTTTATTGATCTCAGCTAACTGTTAACCACATGGATTTTCATGATTGGTACTATAATACTATTCGTACAAATTTTGGAAGCAATGTTTATGCTCATGATCTTTTAAACCACCGAATAACATGTAGATTTTCATGATATCTCCTGCTACAAGTGATCATGTTAATGTAAGTGTTCCTTGTTGCCAATGAATAGAATGGTATTTTCCAAGATTTAACCAACTTTTGGTAACTAACCTGATATGCATAATTCATGCTGCCATGTGCACCCATGCTGATGTAATTGAATACTGTTGCATCTATTAACCATATTGATGTCTATGAATGGACCCAAATGGGCTCCTTTTGACTCTGTAAGCCATGTTGATGCATGTGGTTTTGGTTCCATGGGATAGTATGTTGATGGCCATGACCACTCCGTGCCCTGAGGACCATGTGAAGGTATGTGTTGTCTGTTTCCAACATAAAGAATATAAATTTCCACCGGGCAGTGGTAGCGCACGCCTTTAATCCCAGCACTCGGGAGGCAGAGCCAGGCGGATCTCTGTGAGATCGAGGCCAGCCTGGGCTACCAGGTGAGTCCCAGGAAAGGAACAAAGCTTCACAGAGAAACCCTGTCTCGAAAAACCAAAAAAAAAAAAGAATATAAAATTCCAAGAACTAAAATACTAATTAAACAAAGTTGAAATCCAGAATGCATGTTGCCATCAACAAAGTTGATGCCACTATCCCTGCTGGGTCTAGAAAACATGTGGATATCCATGAGCAGACATACAATGCAATCCCTACTATATCTGGAAGCCAGGTTGATACCAGGGTTCATCCTTGCCCATGGATCTGATGTGGAGTTCTACCTGTCCTGCTACCTGAGACCAAGTTGATACAAGAGTTCTGTCTTTCCAACTTGAAGAATGTTAATTTCCCTGATCTCAATACCAAAGTAAACTATGTGGTTATCCTTTCTACATGCTGCCACCTGAATCCTTGAGGATTTAATTGATCTCTGCTGCTTCTATTACCCATATGGATGTCCATGATTGGAACTACAATGCTATTCATAACACTTTTGTTAGCAGTGTTGATGCTCATGAACTTGTAAACCACTAGACATCATTTCGATTTCTGTGAGGTCTCCTGTTAAAAGTGATGATGTTAATATGAGTATTCCTTTGGCAATGTGTAGAATTGTAATTTCCAATATTTAACAAGCATCAGTAAATAAGCAGATATCCATAATTCATGCTGCCATCTCCAACCATGCTGATGTCATTGATCCCGGTTGCCACTGTTAACCCTGTTGAGGTCTATGAATGCCCCTCCAATGCATTCCTGTTGGTTCTGTAAGCCATGTCAATGCGTGTGGTCCTTGGTACCATGGGATAACATTTGATTGCCATGACCACTCTGGCCCATTGTGGCCATATTGATGGAAGTATTCTGTGTTGCCAACATAAAGAATGTAAATTTCTAAGAATTGAAATACCAACTGAAACTAAGTTGATATCCGGAATATTTGCTGTCACCTCCAAACAAATTGAATTCATTCATCACTGCTACATCTGTTAAACATGTAGATGTCCATGAGCGGACATACCATGCTATTCCTGTTATTTCTGGAAAGCACATTGATGGCAGGGTTCTTTATTGCCCTTGGATCTCATGGTGATGTCCATCTGTCCTGCTACCTGAGGCCATGTTCTGTCTTTCCATCATGAAGAATGTTAATTTCCCTGATCTCAAATGCCATAGTAAACTATGTTCCTATCCATTCGACATGTTACCACCTAAAAACCTGTGGATATAATACATCCCTGCTTCTGTTACCCATATGGATGTCCATTATTGGAAGCACAATGACATTCATACTATTTCTGGAAGCAATGTTGATGCTAATTATCTTTTTACCACTCTTACCATGTTGATTTCTATGATCTTTCCTGCTACAAGTCACCACCTTAAGGTAAGTGTTTGTTGTTGCCAATGTATAGAATGGTAATTTCCAAGATTTAACTAACTTTTGGTAACTAAGTTGATACACATAATCCATACTGCCACTGCAGCCAAGGTGATGTCATTGATCACCGCTGCCTTTGCAAACCCTGTTGATATTAATGAATGAAGCTCCCATGCATTCCTATTGGGTCTATAAGCTATGTTGATGCATGTGGTCCTTGTTACCATGGGATAACACCTTGGTGGCTATGAATTCTCCATCCCCTTATGACCTTATTTATGTAAGTGTTCTGTGTTGCCAATTTGAAGAATGTAATTTCCAGGAATTGAAATACTAACAGAAACTGGGTTAATATCATGAATACATGCTGCTACCTCCAAACAAGTTGAGGTCATTAATCCCAGCTGAGTCTCTTAAACATGTGCATGTCCATGATTGGAACTACATGCTATTCCTACTCCTTCTGGAAGCAATGCTGATGCTCATGATCTTCTTACCACTGGACACCATGGTGACTTCCATGATCTCTCCTGCCACAATTGACCACATTAAGGTAAGTGTACCTTTTTGGCAATATATAGAAAGGTAATACCCAAGATTTAATGAACCTTTGGTAACGTAGCTGATACGTGTAATTCATGCTGCCATCAGCACCCATGCTGATGTCATTGACCACTGCCGGCTCTGATAAACTTGTTGATGTCAATGAAAGGGCCTGACAAGAATGTCTATTGGTTCTATAAGCCATGTTGATTCATGTGGTCCTTGATATCATGGGATAACTTCTTGATTGCCATGACATCTGTGGCCTCTTATGACCATATTAATGTAAGTATTTTTTGTTGCCAATATAAAGAATGTAAATTTACAAGAACAATAATACAAACTGAAACTAAGTTGATACCTGGAATACTTGCTGTCACCTCCAAACAAATTGAATTCATTCATCACTGCTGCATCTGTTAAATATGCAGATGTCCATGAGCAGACATATCATGCTATTCCTACTATTTCTGGAAGCCACATTGATGCTAGGGTGTTTCTTGCCCATGGACCTGTTGTTGATGTTTATTTGTCCTGCTACCTGAGACCATGTTGATGCAAGAGTTCTGTTTTTCCAACGTGAAGAATGTTAATTTCCCTGATGTCAACTACCATAGTAAACTATGTGGCTATCCATTATATGTGCTGCCACCTGATACCTAGTGGATTTACTTGATCCCTGCTGCTTCTGTTACCCATATGGATGTCCATGATTGGAACTATAATGCTTTTCCTACTACTTCTGGTAGCAGTGTTGATGCTCATGGTCTTGTAAACCACTGGACACCATGTTAATTTCCATGATCTCTGGTGCTACAGGTGATGATTTTAATGTATGTGTTCCTTGTTGCCAAAGGATAGAATGGTAATTTCCAAGATTTAACCAACTTTTGGTAACTAAGTTGATACACATAACTCATGCTGCCACCTGCAGCCATGTTGAAGTCATTGATCACTGACGCCTTTGCAAACCCACCTGCAGCCATGTTGAAGTCATTGATCACTGACGCCTTTGCAAACCCTGCTGATATTAATGAATGGAGTTCCCCTGCATTCCTATTGGTTCTGTAAGCCATGTTGATGCAGATGGTCCTTTATACCATGGGTTATCATCTTGATTGCCATAAATTCTCTAGCCCCTTATGGCCATATTAAGGCAAGTGTTCCTTTTTGGCAATATGTAGAACTTAATTTCTAAGAGTTAACAAGCATGAGCCACTAAGCAAATATCCAATTCATGCTGCAACCTCCAACCATGCTGATGTCAATGACACCCGTTGCCACTGTTAACCCTGTTGATGTCTATGAATTCACCTCCAATGTATTCCTCTTGTTTCTGTAAGCCATTTTGATGAATGTGGTCCTTGTTACCATGGGATAACATTTTGACTGCCATGACCTCCTTGGCCCCTTATGACCACATTGATCGAAGTGTGCTGTGTTGCCAATGTAAAGAATGTGAATTTTGAAGAATTGAAATAAAGAATGAATCCAAGTTGATATCCAGAGTATTTGCTGTCACCTCCAAACTAATTGAATTAATTTATCCCTGCTGCATCTGTTAAAAATGTGGATGTCCAAGAATGGACATACCATGCTATTCCTACTATTTCTGCAAACCACTTTGATGGCAGGGTTCTTTCTTGCCCATGGATCTGATGTTGATATCTATCTGTCCTCCTAACTGACATTGTGCTGGTACAAGAGTTCTGTCTTTCCATCATTAAGAAAGTTAATTTCTCTGATATCAACTACCAAAGTAAACTGTGTGGCTATTCATTCTACATTCTGCCACCTGAAACACTGTGGATATAATATATCCCAACTGCTTCTGTGAACCATGTGGCTGTCCATGATTGGAGGCACAATGCCATTCTTATTACTTCTGGAAGCAATGTTGATGCTCATTATCTTCTTACCACTTGGCACCATGCTTATTTCTATGATCTCTCCTGCTACAAGTCACCACCTTAAGTGTTTGTTGTTGCCAATGTATAGAATGGTAATTTCCAAGATTTAACTAACTTTTGGTAACTAAGTTGATACACACAATTCATTCTGCCAAGTGCAGCCATGCTGATGTCATTGATCACTGCTGCCTTTGCAAACCCTATTGATATTAATGAATGGAGCTCCCATGCATTCCTATTCATTCTGTAAGCTATGATGATGCATGTGGTCTTGTTACCATGGGATAACACCTTGATGGCTTTGAATTGTCTATCCCCTTATGACATTATTAATGTAAGTATTCTGTGTTGGCAATATGAAGAATGTAATTTTCAAGATTGAAACACCAATAGAAACTAAGATAGTATCCTAAAGACATGCTGCCACCTCCAAATAAATTGAGGCCTTTAATCCCAGCTGAGTCTCTTAAACATGTGCTTGTCCATGATTGGCACTACAATGCTATTCCTACTCCTTCTGGAAGCAATGTTGATGCTCATGATCTTCTTACCACTGGACACCATGGTGACTTGCATGATCTCACCTGCTACAAGTGACCATATTAAGGTAAGTGTTCCTTTTTGGCAATTACCGAGATTTAATAAACCTTTGTTAACTTAGCTAATATCTATAATTCATGCTGCCACCTGTACCGATGCTGATATTATTGACCCTGCTTCATCTGTTAAACTTGTTGATGTCTATGAAAGGACCTTACAGGAATTTCCATTGCTTCTGTAAGCCATGTTGATTTGTATGGTCCTTCTTACCATGGTATAACATCTTGATTGCCATGACGTCTCTGGACCCTTATGACCATATTAATATATATGTTTTGTGTTGCCAACACAAAGAATATAAATTCCCAAGAACAAAAATACCAACTGAAACTAAGTTGACATCTGGAATACTTTCTGTCATTTCCAAACAAATTGAATTCATTCATCCCTGCTGCATCTGTTAAACATGTGGATGTCCATGAGCAGACATACCATGATATTCCTACTATTTCTGGTACCATGTTGATGCCAGGGTTCTTCTTGCCCATGGATCTGATGTTGATGTCCATCTGTCCTCCTACCTGAGACCATGTTGATGCAAGAGTTCTGTCTTTCCAAAATGAAGAATGTTAATTTCCCTGATCTCAACTACCAAAGGAAACGATGTGGCTATCCATTCAACATGCTACCACCTGAAACCTTGTGGATTTAATTGATCCCTGCTGCTTCCATTACCCATATGGAGGTCCATGATTGGAACTATAATGATTTTCCTACTACTTCTGGTAGCAGTGTTGATGCTCATGGTCTTATAAACCAGTGGACACCATGTTGATTTCCATGATCTCTGTTGCTACAGGTGATGATGTTAATGTATGTGTTCCTTGTTGCCAATGTATAGAATGGTAATTTCCAAGATTTAACCAACTTTTGGTAACTAAGTTGATACACATTATTCATGCTGCCACCTGCATCCATACTGAGGTCATTCATCACTGCTGCATTTACAAACCCTGCTGATATTATGAATGGAGCTCCCCTGCATTCCTATTGGTTCTGTAAGCCATGTTGATGCAGGTGGTCCATTATACCTTGGGTTATCATCTTGATTGCCATAAATTCTCCAGCCGCTATGGCCATATTAAGGCAAGGGTTTCTTTTTGGCAATGTGTATAATGGTAATATCCAAGATTTAACAAGCATTGAGTACTAAGCCGATATCCATAATTCATGCTGCCACCTCCACCATGCTGATGTCATTGATCCCCTTTGCCAGTGTTAACCTTGTTGATGTCTATGAATGTCCCTCCAATGTATTCTTGCTGTTTTTGTAAGCCATGTTGATGCATATGGTCCTTGTTACTATGGGATAACATTTTGATTGCCATGACCTCTCTAGCCCCTTATGACCATATTGATGGAAATATTCTGTGTTGACAACACAAAGAATGTAAATTTCCAAGAATTGAAATCCCAACTGAAACTCAGTTGATATCCAGAATATTTGCTGTCACCTCCAAACAATTTGAATTCATTCATTCCTACTGCATGTGTTAAAGATGTGGATGTCCATGAGCAAACATTCAATGTAATTCCTACTACAAGTGACCATTTTATTATAAGTGTTCTGCTGTGGGATGTTCTGTATGTCCTGTGGGAGCCCTTCTTGGGTTCTTTGTGGCGTTACCCAGCAGGTCCGCATAGAGGATGATTAGGACCATGGGCCTGAGTGCAGGTGTCTGAGATGGTCTGCACTTGGCTGTGCTGGGGGATGGTCTGTATGTCAAGTTGTTCTGATTGATCAATAAATAAAACCTGATCGGCTGTAGCTAGGCAGGAAGGATAGGCAGGACTAACAGAGAGGAGAAATAAAAGGACAGGAAGGCAGAAGGACTGACTGCCAGATGCCGCCATGACCAGCAGCATGTGAAGATGCCGGTGGGCCACCAGCCACGTGGCAAGGTGTAGATTTATGGAAATGGACTAATTTAAGCTATAAGCACAGTTAGCAAGAAGCCTGCCACGGCCATACAGTTTATAAGTGATATAAGCGTCTGAGTGATTATTTTATAAGTGGATTGTGGGACTGGCGGGTGACAAAGATTTGTCCTGACTGTGGGCAAGGCAGGAAAACTCTAACTACAGTGTTCGTTTTTTGCAACATATTGAATGGTAATTGCTAAGATTTAATGAACCATTGATAACTGAGCTGGTGTCTGTAATTCATGTTTACACCTGCACTCGTGCTGATGTCATTAACCCCTGCTGCCTCTGTTTACCTTGTTGATGTGTATGAAAGGACCTGCCGGGCATTCCCTTGGTTCTACAAGCCATGTTGATGCAGGTGCTCCTTGTTTTAATGGGATAACATCTTGATTGCCATGACGTCCATGGACCCTCATGGCCATATTAAGGTAAGTATACATTTTTGCCAACATGAGGAATGTAAATTTACATCAACTGAAATACCAAATGAAGCTAAGTTGATATCCAGAATACTTTTTGCTGCCTCCATATAAATTGAATTCATTTATCCCTGCTGCATCTGGTAAACATGTGGATGTCTACGATCCATTGTCTTATGGAATGTCTGGCATTACTAAAAGCCATGTGGATGCCTGTGGTCCTTCTTGCCAGTATATTCCATATAGATTTCCTTGAACTCTTGCCACCTGTGACAATGTTAATGTTAAGTGTTCTGTGTTCTCAATGTGAAGAACATTAATTTCCAAGAATTTAACCACCAACTGAAACTATGTTGATATACAGAATACATGGTGCCACCTCCAAACATGTTGAAGTCATTGATCCCTTCTGCCTCTGTTGGACATATTGGTGTTTATGATTCTAATTATAATATTCCTAGCACATTTGAAATCCATGATGATGCCCATCATATTTGTACCAGTGGATACCATATTGTGTTTTGTGATCTCTCCTGCTGTCTTTACCTTGTTAAATTAAATGTTCTCTCACCAACATGAAGAATATTAAGTTCCAAGTTTTAATGGTTGAAATGTTAAGTTCCAAGATTTTGGTAATCTTGGAAACTAATTTTATATCCATAATTCTTGGTGTCATCTGAATCTGTGGTCATTTTATTGATCCCTCTTGTCTCTGTTAACCATGTTGATGCCTATGATCAGAACTTCCATGCTATTCTTATTCCTTCTGGAAGCCATGTTGATTCCCCTGCTCCTTGTTATCTCTGGATAACGTCTTGATATTGGTGACCTGTGTGGTCAATTATGACCATATTAAGATAAATTTTCTGTTATTCCAACATGAACAAAGTAAATTTCCAAGAATTCAACTACCATCTGAAACTAAGTTATTATCCATAATTCATGCTGCTGTCTATAAACATGTTGATGCCATTGTTTCCTGCTCCTTCTTAACGGTTTTGATGTTCATGATCAGACATTCCATGGTATTCCTACTACTTCTGGGAGGCATGTTAATGACGATGGTTCTTCTTGTTGCTCAATATGAAGTTTATATCTATCTTTCCTGCCATTATTTTGTGAATGAGAAAAATGTTAATTTTCAAGATTTAATGTGCAGTCTGAAAATAAGTTGATATCTATGATTCATGCTGCCACATGTGACCATGTTGATGTCATTGATCCAACTCTGTTAATCAAATTGATGTCTAACATAGGCCATCATGCTATTCCTGCTTCTTCTGGAAGCCATGTAGATGCCCGTGGTCCTTCTTAACCACTACATACATTGTTGATGTCCAATAACTCTCCTGCCCCTTGTGACTGCATTAAAATATTGTTCTGTGTTAACAACATGCAGAATGTTAATTTGCAAGATTTAACCCACCATCCAAATGTAAGATGAAATCCATAATTCATGATGCCACCTGAAACCATGCTGATGCCATTGATCCCATGTGCCTCTGTTAACCAAATTGATGTCCATTATTGAATGACCTACCATGTTCTTCCTACTATTTCTGGAAGCCTTGTTGATGCTTGTGGTCTTTCTTACTGTTGATATGACATTGATGTCCATATCAATGGAGATATTCTTCTACCCGAGACCCTATTGATGAAAGAGTTCTGTGCTGCCAACGTGATGAATGTTAATTGCCATGATCTCAGCTACCATCTGAAACTGGTGATATTTACATGCTATCACCTGCAACCTTGTTGATGACATTAATGCCTGCTGTTTTCTTTATCATGTTCATGAGCCTTACTATGCTATTCCTATTGGTTTGAAGTCCATGTTGATGCCTTACGGTACATTTTCCTCCTGGATAACATGTTGATGTTAATGGTCTGACCTGCCACCTGAGACTATGCTGAGGTAAGTTTTCTGTGTTGCGAACATGAAGAATATTGATTTCCATGAGTTAACCTGCCATTGGAACTTAAGTTGATATCTGTAATTCATTCTGTCCCTGGAACCATGTTGAGACCACTGATCCTTGCTTCTTTTGTTTATCATGTTGATTACCATGATCTGACTTCCCATGCTGTCCCTACTGCTTCTGGAAGCCATGTTGATGCCTGTGGTTCTTGGTGCCCCTGAATATGATGTTGATGTTGATGTTCTGTTCTGACTCCTGAATCCATGCTGAGGTAAATGATTTTTGTTGCCAGTGTGAAGTATGTTCTTTTCCTTGATCTAACCTACTATCCAAAACTAAGTTGTACTTTATCACCTATGCTTCTTCAGGCCACCACATTGATGTCACTGATCCTTGCTGCATGTTTTAACTATGTTGATATCCATGAGCCAATCCTCCATTCAAAATTATGTTGATGACATGGATCTTTCCTACTTCTGGTAAGCATGTTGATGTTCCTGTCTCAATGTGACAGCAGGGGCTATCCTGCCACTGGTAACTGTGTTGATGCATCTAGTCTCTCTTTCCACTGGACACCATGTCATTTCCATGACCCTACTCATTCTGAAAGCTACATTGATAGTCTTTGTCTTTCTACCACTAGAGACCATATTGATGTCCTTGTTCCATATTGTACCAGTAACCACGCTGCTGTCTCTGATCTGTGCTGCCTCTGTTAACCATGTTGTTGTCTGGGATTTGATCTGCCACAAAGCTATGTTGATATCATTGATTTGTACTGCCAGTGGCAAACCTTATGACGTCTCTGATCCTTGCTGCCTCTGTTAGCTATGTTGCTGCCCATGATCTGCCCTACCATTCAACCCCTAATGCTTCAGGAAGCCATGGTGATGCCTGCGATCCTTGTTTCCCCTGGATGCGATGTTGATGCCCATGTTCTGTCCTACCACCTGAGACCACATTGAGGTAAGTATTCTGTGATGCCAACATGAATAATGTTGATTTCCTTGATCCACATGCCATCCAGAACTAATTTAATACTCTTGATGCATGCCGCTGCAGGAAATCATGTTGATGTCACTGTTTTTTGCTGCATCTTCTAACCATGTTGATGTTCATCATCCAACCTACTGTCCAAAACTTTGTTGATGTTACTGATCTACACTGTAGCTGTCAATCATGTTGAGGTTACTGAACTTTGCTACCACCTGTAACCATATTGATGTCTGCAGTGTACAGTGTCATCAGAAACAGTGTTGAAGAAATTCATCCATACTGCTACCTTAGACCCAGTTCAATTAAGTTTCCTGTGTCCCTCATGTGTACAATATTGATTTCCATGATCTGTCTGCCACCTGAAACTAAGTTGATATCCATGATCTATACAGACACAGGCAACCATGTTGATGTGACTGATTTTTGCTGCCTCTCCTAATGTTACTTATATCCATGATTTGACATGTGATCTGAAACTTTGTTGATGTCACTGATCTTTGCTGTTGCTGTCAACCATGTTGATGCTACTGAAACTTGCTTCCACTTGTAACCATACTGCTGTCTCTAGTCTGTTATCATCTGTGACAATTCTGAAGTCAATGGTATATACTACCACCTGAGACCCACTTCAGGTAACTGCCCTGTGTTGGCAATGTATACAATGTTGATTTCTGTGATTTGACTGCCGCTTGAAGCTAAGTTGATGTTTATGATCTGCCACAGGAAACCAACCACGTTGATGTCACTGATCTTTGTTCCCTGTTTTGACCATGTGGATGTCCATTATCTGACTTAACATCTGAAATTATGTTGATGTCACTCATTCATGCTGCCGCTGATAACCATGTTTATGGCCATAATCTTTGTTAGAATCTTTGACCTTGTGGCTGTCGATTGTCCATGTTGCCACCTGAGTCCATGATTACAACCATGATGACTGTAGTCTGTGCTGCTGCCAGCCATCATGTCAATGTCTCTGATCTGTGCTGTTGCTGGGGACTGGGTCAATATGAGTGATCTGAGCTGCCAACAGAAACTATTTTGATATCATTAAGCCATCCTTGTGCTGGAGACCATGTTGACATCTTTGTCCTTACTGCCACCAAAAACTATGTTTATGTTCATGCTCTGGGCCGCATACTAAAGACCAGTTGGATATCCATGACCCAGCTGCTGATGGAGACTGTGTCGATGTCTGTGGTCGGTACTGCCACAAGAAGACATCCTGATAGTGATCTGTGATGCCTCCCTCAAACATGCTATGTGGTGATCTGTGTTGATGTCATGGACCAGATGGATGTCAGTTATCCAAGCTGTCACCACAAAACTTGTGGACCATGATCTGTGCTGCTGCTAGAAACCCTGTAGAAGTCTATGATCCATTGGGCTGCTAGAAAGCATGTGGAAGTCCTTGATCTGTACTGCCACTGACTTCTATGGGCAAAGAGCTTCTTTTGCAGTAGTATCAATAACTGTAGAATCATAACTGAAATTCAGACGGACATTGAAGGCTTCTGTGCCACAATCCCCCCTAAAAAGAAAATCTAGACAGGATCTTATTGGAGAGTCCTTGGAAATCATAATAAATATACTTAACTGTAGCTCTTCACAGTTGATGGCTTTAGGCAGGGGTTGGGGAAGAACTCCTTTTGAAGAGGCTGGACACAGCAAGATTGACCATGCTCTAATGAGTATAAGGATAACACCAATTGGACTTGTTATATTGTATTTTTGCTATTCTGGGGGAGGATGCCACAAGGGTGGAAGAGTGAACCTGGCAAGAATGGGAATCAAGTGTGATTGAGGTATGTTGTATGACATTCTCAAATGTTTAATAAAATATTGTGTTGGGAAAATAAAAAAAAATGTGTCAAATAAATTTGGCCTATAACTGGTTGCTTATTTTAACTATATGAATTGAACCACAGCCTAACTATCTTAGCCATTATTCTAGTGATGTAAAGAGACACCATGATGAAAGCGATTATTACAAGAGAAAGCATTTATTCTGGGGCTTGTTTTCAGTGTCAGAAGTTTAGGCCATTATCATCATGGCAGGAAACATGGTGGCATGCCGGCAGAATCTGGAGCAGTAGTTGAAAACTACATCCTGATTCATAGGCAGAGAGAGAAAAGACTTTGGACTTGGCATGGGATTTTGAAAACTCACTGCCCAGTCCCAGTGACACATTTCCTCCTACAAGGCCCCACTTCCTAATTCAAGCATTCAAGTCTATGAGCCTATGGACGCCATTCTTATTCAAAGCACCACATTATCTGAGAGTACTTTTTAAAATTTGTTTTATTCTTTCAAGAGCTTATGCATTTAGACAATATATTTTTATTTTATCCATTGACCATTTCTTCCTTTCAACTCCCTGTAGTGGTCCCAGTCTGTCATCTTCTCAACTTCATGCATTCTCTTTTTTTTAATTAATAACCCTCTGAGTCCACTTAGTATTGCCCATGTGCCCATGTGTCTCAGTCCACCTACTGGAGCATGGACAACCTAACAGAGGCCATTTCTCCAAAAGGAGTGACTTTCCCTTTCTCAGAAGCCATCAGTTGCTCATAGCCCCTACAATGGTGTGCCATTAGACACATCCTTCACAATTCATGTTAGAACTTTGAAGAGTTTGATCTTGAGTAGGCAGACAAAGGTACTATTAATTGGATTATGCAGCAGTTATGTTACTTACAGAAATCTGCATTTCAAATCTCTCACTCAGTTGTCTCTTTAGTTCTTTCTGCATGCTTTTCTGTGATATCCTCATGACTTTTGTTGAGTGAAGGGTAATATAGCAGATTCATCCATGGATGAGGTCTCAGTTACTTATACTCTGTATTTTGACCAGCTATGAGTCTTTGTCTTAACCACAATACTGTGAAAAAGAAGTGTCTCAAGAGATATTGAGACCATGATTGGAAAAAGTACAGAGACAACTAATAAAACTAGTGGAAACACATGAACTGTGAACCAATAGCTGAGGAGCCCCCATGGGACTGGACTAGGCCCCCTGGATAAGTGAGACCGTTGATTAGCTTGAACTGTTTAGGGGGCCCACAGGCACTGGGACCGGGACCTGTCCTTAGTGCATGAGCTGGCTTTTTGGAACCTAGTGCCTATGCTGAGACACTTTGCTCAGCCTTGGTGCAGGGAGGAGGGCCTTGGACCTGCCTCAACTGAATCAACCAGGCTGGGCTAACTGTAGCTAGAGTTTTCCTGCCTGGCCCACAGTCAGGACAAATCTTTGTCACCTGTCAGTCCCACAGCCGCTCAGACCCAACCAAGTAAACACAGAGACTTATATTGCTTACAAAC